GCATCCGTTTGGGAATTAACAAAGTGTTGACCTGATGGAGCAGGTGGAGGGAACGCATCCACGCTAAGCATTTGTGGCATTGTGTGACTCGCCACGTGTCAAAGCGATTCAGAGAGCCCTTGTGAGAGAAATCCAAATTCAGTGACCGTCTTCAAGTCTCATTTCAACGCTGACGTAGTTTGTAAACGCGTCAAAGGCTTCGTGCTGGTTGGTCACATTGACGCCGTGTGCAGAGGAACAACTGCTGCCTCATGTTCTCTCCCACCATCGGGGCCCATAACGAGGCCCCGGGGGCCGCTGGCAGCAAGGGACGTGCTGCGTTCGCATCATGTTCCCCTTCACACTCGTGTTCCCCACCCTCCCTCTGTTTGCCACTTTCTCCATCAGCAGATCCGTAAGAAGTTTTTAATTTGGATTGCAAAGAGAAATTGTTGTAAATACAGCAAATAGGCACATTGTTTGCTCCCAACAAGTCATTTGTTCATTAACATTCACGGCGTGTTGTAGTAAGTTATTGCCAGTAGTTGACCCACGCAGTGTATTTTGTGTAATACTACTACATCCATTGATTTAACTAATGTAAGGGAGTGCTAGTTTGGCTTTTGAATTTTCGTTAAGTTGACTTTCATCCTCCAAAAGTTGTATCTCACTTTTCCTTTATTCTTACCTCTAATCTTTATCTACTGTTTTTTCATTATCTTTATTGTACATTCTCCCATCCTCTCCATTCTATCATCTCAGTTCATTTTAAGATTATATTGTCTTTGTCTGCCGTTCTTTAAATTATACTCTTTCTTTCTCCTTTCCTCCTCCTCTGTCGTGCTCATCTCTCACCTTCACCGCTGCCCCCCCCACCCTCTTTCTCTCCCCCTCCCTCCACCGACAATGTGACCCTCACTTTACACGTCCTGAATTATTGAGGCGAAACCCGGCACTCTTGTGCTGCCCAACAAGTTCCAAGCCTTCTCCGGTTCCTCTCCTCTTACCCTTTCTCCCGTCTTTTTATTGATGGCTTTGTTCCTTAATTTGGACCTCAGGGCACCGGATCAGGTCACTGGGTAACTTGAGATTTAGTTTTATTTTTTCGCACCCCTTTCTGAGCTAATCCTGAGTATTTCTGGCTGCTGCAACCCCACCGGTTCGCGCCTCTCTGGTTACTGCAGGTGGGCGAGTGCTTGAAGACGGATTAACTTCACGCGCACACACTCACAGATCGCTGCACTGCGGCCCAGTCTGAGCTTTTGGCAGCGCGTGTAGGATACATTAGTGCAATTAACCAACAGAGAGAAAAAAAGAAGAGATTGCAGAATCTGTCTAGAAAGCGACTGGAAATGGAAACGACGTCGGTCGTGGTTGACAAAAATGAATGAAGAGTGGAAAAGGAGGAGAGGGATCCTGTATCCTGATCCTGAACGTTTTAAAAAGATGGAGTGAGCTCCGTGTCCCCGGTAGTTTGTTTAAACCTCCGGCGGGGTGAAAAATAAACACGCGCTCAACTCAACCGGGTCGCAGTAAATCACTCGCGCTCACATGCTGAGCTCTGGTAACACGGTTTCATTTACACTGTAAGGAGGCTGCGATTTAGATGCCAGAGCAACAGATTGGGATTTGACAGCGTGTTAAAAACTCATGATGCCGTGTAAAGTTTTTCCCCCCGGAGCAGCGCGTGCCGATGGCATTAAAAACATGTCGATCAAAGTTCATGGTGTGCTGAGTAGGTCAACACATGACAGCAGCACAGACAACGGTACTTTACAATTGAATATATTGTTTGTAGTTTTCAGGTCAAAGTAAAATGTGTACATTTTAGAATATCTTTTTTTTTTTTTTTTAGTTAACAAAGATTTATTGTATGTTAGCAGAATGCTGTGTACTGTACACTTGGATAACCGTTTAACTATTGCGGGTCATATTATTACCGCAATATTCAACACTGAAGAACATTTTCCCCACGTCTCTGGTGTTGAACCGCAGCGTCGCCCAATCTCATTTCACCCCATTTTTAAGGGTTTTACTGTGGCTATTGTGTGTGTGTGTGTGTGTGTGTGTGTGTGTGTGTGTGTGTGTGTGTGTGTGTGTGTGTGTGTGTGTGTGTGTGTGTGTGTGTGTGTGTGTGTGTCTCTCGAATCAATAAGCCTCAAGGCCGTCCATCTCTGAGTCATCTGTAGTTCTCGGAAGATGATGACAAGGTGCTCAGAAAATACACACACACACACACACACACACACAGACTTGCTGTCTTGACTGAACCAAGGCAAGTCCTTCGTCAGGAGAATATCCTTATTTATCACACAAACAAGCGAACACTCTGCTCTTATGAAATATATTTTGTTATTCTTATTTTGGAAATCTCTCAGTTATGGCTGTATTATGATTATTATGCAACGTGGGAACAGAGAACCGAGCACAACAAACCTCTGCTGGGTAATTGACGGTTTCTCAAATATATCTATGGCATTTCTGCACTGCAATTTCATATTTATTCCTCCACCATCAGATACCCAGGTTCTTCTGGATATGATAAGATTGAATTGACTGATATATAATGCCTGTCAATTTATTGAGATGGCTTTAATTTGACAAGTTTCCCTTCTTTTTTGCTTTTAAATTTGTTTTGTTTTTAACTTCTCTCACCAATACACACACTATCACGCCTCGGAAATTGACTTTGTAACATTAAAATTGGTAAACAATTTTCATAAACTATAATAACTCTAAGTTTGCTCTTTTTTTTGGAGTCATAAGAGTTTACAACCATGAACTTGTAAAACATGTGTTTTTTGTTAAAAAAAACAGGATTTGACATTTTGACAGTCCGTCTCGAGAGCGGCAGGTTCATGTAGAAGTCCGAACCACACCCGCTGTTGCTCCGCGGAGGATGTTGCAGCTTAAACTGAATGCCTCTGCATGTCGCTGAACCTGTGCATAAATGACTAACATGCCGTTTCCTGCACAACATAACTGTATGAATCACTCATTCAAACATTCTCTGCCTGTGTCGTCTTCTTACTATTCTAGCATAGATTAACTGGAGGGTGCTGCTGGTTTCTTAAGAATACATTTTACTTACATATAAGTAGTTTATGATGTGCAGGTATATGTTCAATCATGTTAATTTTTTTATTTTATCCGTCGGTCGCTGTGTGGTCTTTCCATTCGCCAACTTACTTTTTCCAGTCTGCTGGCCGCGAGTCATTTTCCTCCTCATGAGGCTGCAGGGAGACCGAGCGGTGCGCAGCTGAAAGCACTCGACGTCACTGAAGGCGAAACCGTCTCGCAAAGTATTTAACTAATGATACAAAACCACTCGAATATTCAGTGAACACACTTGGTCATGTGTCAGTGGTAGCGATTCAAAGGCGGGGTGGGGGTGTGGGGTGAGTCACGTCATATTTGGGGAGTTGTGACAAACGTGACTTGAATATGACACGCGCCTCGGAAAGAAACCGGCATCCACATCTCGAGCTATTGATGCAGCGGCTGCCATGGCAACGGACCACTGAATAAAGGCTATGCGGATCATTATGGGGTGACTCACACATAAGGCCAGGCCAGTCTCGTTACGTAAACAATCTTTAGATTAATACATGCTCATCAAATACACAGATATTCACGCAGCACTGTTTGCATGTACAGAGGCAAACGGACTCCAGATGTATACACAAAAAACATGTTTCATCACTCACTATTTCGCCTGTGCTCATGCACACACTCAGCCAATATCAACACTTGCGCTATTCTGCTCATTAGTTTTCTCCTGTGAGTCACCCTGAGTCAGTTTTATTGCATTATGGATTAAGATTAGATATGAAAACAGGCTTCTAAATAGGAACTAGGATGATCCAAGTTCTCTAGAACTGCGAAGAATTCTGAATTATTCAGTCAGTAGCAAATATTTTCCACTTTAACTGTGTGACGATGGCCTTATAGTAGACCCCCCCCCCCCTGTAAGAACACCCAGGTAGCTTTACCCAGCTCCCCCCCTGTGGGGCTTGTTTTTCCACTACGGAGCTTATTTTAGAAAGCCACGGGGCTTCAGGTCAAGCCGACTGTCTGTCGGACATCACCGTAGTCCTCTGCACAGGGGCGGAACCCCGGGAGGGGCTACCCAGGAGGGGGCGGGTCCCATATTTGAATGTGTGCCCCTGATTTAATCGCTATCGCAGCACCAAGGCGGGAGGGGGGGGTGACTTGAATGGCCGGAAAATAATTGATTAAACAGACCCCCGAACACGAGAAACACCCACGTATGTTTTTGATAAACACTTGAATTGGACTGAAATATAGTTTTATAGCTGAATAGTCGTCCGTGCTCTCTGGTGGGCAAAAGATGTGAAGGAGCCACTGTTTCCTGGTGATTTTAAAGACATATTTGGCATTTCTGTTTGTTTTATGTTGTCAATATGCTAATGTCCACGGATGTACTCGTCTGGCCATAGAAGACATTACTGAAATGTTTCCACACGCTGTTTTGTGCTGACCTTCAGGGGCTGAATGGGAGGAACACTCCTATAAGCAGAGGAAGCATCTCTGCTCTATAAGCTGCTTTAAAAAGCTGTTTCTTGGTGGCTAAAGTGCTGCATCATCACAGAGCTGCTTCATCTGTGGAACTGCAGTCACCTTTTTTTCCTGTGGAAGAATCTCAAAGGAATCAGATGCTTTAGTCGGGCTGGTTTGTGTCTCTCTGCTGTTTTTAAATGACTGAACGGAGGCAATAAAAAAAAAAAGGCTTTTTCTATTCTCTCACCTGCTGTGTCCTCATTAGCAGTTCAACTTTGAGTGGAATTAACAGTCCCAACAGCACGTCTAAATGTTTTATGTTCCAACAACTGCAAATTAAATTGGGTACTTGAAAAAAAAAAGACTGAATGTGTGCTTTAGTTTGTAAAAGCTGGTGTTAAACCATAAACTTGTGTATTAGAAAACAATCAAACAACTCTAATAAGCAGTCAAACAGTCTAATGTTCTAATGTGCCTCGTCTTCCTCCCCCCCCCAGCAGGTTTGGATGAGCTACCTCCAGAAGTCGTGACCGAGGGGCGAGAGACACACACCCACACAACACACCCCACCCCCGCCCCGCCCCCACCCGTCAGCCATGCCGCCGCCGGCAGACATCGTGAAGGTGGCCATCGAGTGGCCGGGGGCCTTTCCCAAGCTCATGGAGATCGACCAGGTACGTGTGTCCTGAGTGACCGATCGGCACATTTGGAAGACAAAGCCGAGCACACGTTCTGTCTCTGTGACACTGAACAAGGTGCCTGCTTTGTCTGAACGCAATATTTGTACCGTAACCCGCCGTTGTCAACATAAATTGGGTTGGTCTATGTCTAGAAAGGAAAGGCGGATGTGATAACGGCATCATCCGTCTTTGTTTGCTCCTAACAATTACACTAATTACCCAAAGGATGTGGCGTAATTACGGAGGTATAATAGGCAATGGTGGCTTTGACACCGCTGTGAAGATTCAATGTGACGATTGACCGCGGTAGAAAACGGAGCAGGTTCTTCAACTTAAAGCTAACCAGAACTGCAAAATAATAGTGAAGACATAATCAGGTGTGGATTATTTAATATGAATTCTGTAATTGCTAAAGTAGCTCTGCTGTTGTACTCAGGGAGCTGTGTGTACTCAGTGAGAGCTCATTTGTGAGTGAAAATAAACATCACCATGTAAACGCTAGTGTGCAACTGCAGCTGTGTTTTCAGTCAGTTTTATTTTTAGATTAATTTGGGGAGGAATCATTTTGCTAATAGTGTTCAATGAATTTGATCCAATTGTGACTCTTTTATGGATATGAAATTGATATTTTAGTTTCATAAACGTAATAGTTCTGATTTCACATCCCCAGTATTTAAAGAAAGTAGTGCACACAATACAAGCTGTAAAAGTAAGAAGGCTACAACAAGTTATGATACATATTCAATCACTAGTTCAAAGCTTCATGCTCATTGCTGGTTGTGATCATTAACTTTATTTACAAGTTAAGTTACCTATTTAGAAGGTGTTGAAAGTGGAACAGATTAGAAGGGAAAATTGATTTGATTAGAAAACAGCATCAGAATTCTCATAATTCTCTTTATGATTAAGTTGCTTTAAGTCAAAATGGTGCACTCATTTCTTCCCGCAAACTCTGATAAAACGGGGATGCCGTTTGCCTGGTCAGTGCCAACAGCCCAAATACGAGTCCTCGGGTGAAGGCCACGCTGATCATAGCTGATGAAATTTTAATTAAATAATTTCACCCCGTGTGAAGCGGCTTTTTAAGTTTTCAAATGTTTGTTTGATTACACATGCAGTGGTCTAAATGGCCTGTTCTCTGGGTGACTAATGCTTGTACAAGCTGTGAGTCACCCTGACAACCGGAGCCGCGATCAACAATCTCAATGGACTCGCCGCTGAATGAAACATTGGACTGCGGCGTGCGTGTGCTTCTGGGTTCACCGCGAGGGTCTTGAGGCGCCGCAGTGTAGAGTTGGGGATGTCGTTTTTAACGTCTCGTTAACAGCGGAGTTTTTCGTAGCCTGAATTGTTGAAACGTCTCCATCTCCACTTTGGTCTTTCTGACGTCTCCAAGCAGCCTCCTCCCCCTCCCTCCCTCCCTCCCTCTGCTTTTATCTAATTTTCTTATCTCTCGCTGTCATCTTTCTCTCGTTCCTCCACGCTGTTGCAGCTCGTTGTCCTCCTTTGCTTTCTCCCCTTTTCCCCTCCTCCTCTTACTCGTCCTCCTCCCATCTTTTGTTAAGACTGTAACTGCTTGTGCTTTTCCTCCTCCACCCTGGGCCCCCACCTCTTCCACATCCCTCCACGTCTCCGCGGTACAATGGGCCCTGCAGCAGCGTACGTCTGTCTGAGTCATGCCGTGGAGAGTGGGCTTCGTTTCTTCAGTTCCACAGAAAGTGTGTGTGAATGGATAGATGCAAATCTGCGTTGTTGTTTTTTTTATGGGTAGAACTCTGCATAAGTGACTTTGTGCGTTGGCGTGTTTGCATGGCATTACTATTCCTGTGTGTGTGTGAACATTGCATATGTATTCTTCTGTATGGGGGATTTATCTGTATTTGTTTGTGCGCCTGTGCTATGTGTGTGCGCATATATATATATATATATATAATATATATGAGAGTGAAAGGGTTGCACCGTGATTTCAGTAGCTCTCCAAATACCTTCAATGCCTCGGAGGCACGAAAGTCTGACATTTGTGTCGTACCGTTGGGGAATTGGTGCCGGCTATTGTAGTAAAGAATTTGTATTTGTCAGAAATGTAATCGAGAGCCGGGAGACGACATGGTGTTGGTCTGCGGGGGGGAAATACGTTTTGGAGATAAGCAGTAGAATTGAAGTCAAGAGGAAATGTCCTGGTATTTTATACACTACAGTGTGACGCAGTATAAAAATACGTAGATCTAAAACCCGTTGGTTACATCAACATATTTTTGCTCTAACAAAGGACATTTTCTCACCTCTTTGAGCTGATGCAGCGCAACGTTGTTGGTATCAGTTGCCTACTTACACATGTAGGCGTTAAGAGCAACAGTATCATTCATTCAGAATTGTGTCTGTGGCCATCAGATGAATCGGTAGGTCCAATCTTCACCCGCTCATCAGCTCTGTTTTGTTCTCTTCCGACTCCTGAGCCTGAATGTTGCACTTTGAGGTTCACCAGCTACACACAAACCTGTGCTGAGCAGGTAGCACCCAGTGGGCTCATCAACGCTTCATTATCACCACAAGAATGTTGTCCATGACATGTTTTACCTTCCCTTTAGTCTTTCTTTTCATAAATTGCAAATGCTGAAACAGTCCTCAGATGATGACTACACTTTGTTCGTACACTCGATAGTGCAAAGTATAAAGTATAATCACTCGTGACCAATCGGCTGTATTCTTGCTGCAGTTGAATGTGTCAGTAAATCATTCAGGGACAGCTTGTGTAAGAAACCTAACATAACAATGATTTAGTTTTTTATGGCCTATGTGGCTGCACATACAAGTTAAAATGTTTAAGTGGGACACAAAGATGTGACAAAATGTACCCTTGAAATGTAGTGATGGTTTGAAATCGCTGGGATCGGTCATAAACTAGCAGGAATGACCTTGGAAAGAAAGAGAGAGTATATTTGCAGAATCGTGTCAGATAACAGGAGCTAAAGGACATCGCGTTTACGTAGAAGATGGATTACAGCTTTGCTTTTGACAAATACTCCAGTGCATAAGGTGAATACTGTAGCTGAGAGCGAACCGTAAGACCGAAAGATGTGGTGGGAAATGTGATAAAGTGGAGGAAGAGTAGATCGTAAATGGGATAATGCAGGTGGTGTGACTCCTACACGACGAGACAAGCATGCGTTTGGACCCCAGAGGAAATTGAATGAAAGGAGAAAATTGAGGCCATAGAACAGTTGTTCAAGGCGGGAAAACCGAGGAATTATTCCTTGATTTGAAATGTAAACAAACTAGTCCAAATCGCTTCCTTTACTGAAAAGGGCTGTGTGAGATAATTTCAATGTATCTGCTAAATATAATCTACATTACAAAAGAGACACACATTTCAAACCGAAATCTCGACCAACCGCAGGCAAAGAAAACACCTTTAAATGCAAAATGTAGCACTTGCTGACAATCATTTAGGGGACTGCAAAAGATTTTCGCGCCAGTACTAATGAAGTTTGACTTTTTTATTTATTGCGCACGCGGTAATATAGTACCCTTTTTAGGTTTCATAAAAAGCAACTAAATTAAACATAGAGGTTTATTAATAATGCAAGTAAAAAATACTGCTTCGATCATGTACTAGAGAAGTAGTTTAATGTCTTTAAAAATATTGCAAACCAAACTCTTTCTTTGATGATTGAGCATATTAATAATTTTGAAAAAGGGCCAGTTGAACAAAGAAATCTATTTAAGACCGATGAATTAAGTAATATTCATGTTCTTAAATGTTTGTAAAACAAGTTTTTTGATATGCTATGTCTAATATTCGGTTCCAGGTTAAAAAAAATGTAATCGCACAGTTATAGTAGTTTTGACATTTGTGCGTGTGTGTGTGCGTTGGTCGCAGAGAGCCTGAGGATCGCATCATTGTTGAGCATGCAGATACATACTACCTGGTATACGCTTTTATCCTCGCCTCATCCCTCCACATGCACTTTGCTTACTTGCCATTAGCTTTTCCTCTCTGTTCAACAACCGTTCTCATCCACTCTCCTCCTCACTCACGTCGTTTTCCGTTGTTTTTTTCCGCCTTCATCTTATTCCGTTTGTGAATTTCTCTTTTTTGATGAATGTTCTGTTCAAATAAAAGCCGCCTCTCGTGTCTCTTGTCACCTCTCTGCCTTTTTTTCCCGTCATCCACTGTGTGCCCATCATTCTGCCACCATTGTGTTCCCTCTGCTAATCCTCATCACTGCAGTTTTCGCTCTTTGAAGCGGCCGCTCGTGTTGCTCTGTGTGTAAATCCCCAGCGACGCATCAACGCAATCATTTTGACTGTAGTGAGAAGCTCATTTAATTGCTTGGTGTGTGTGTGTGTGTGTGTACACAAGAGTGTTCATGGTTTAACCTTCTGCGTATGGATAACTGCCCCTTAACCATCTTTACAACACTCTCTTGGTTCTGAACATCAGCTGGCGGTCGATGGAGCGGTACTAGTGGTCCCCATAATGCAACAGAAAGTAGCTCACAATAGCCACTGTACTTCAATGATGTACAGTCCCAGAGATGAGTCCCTCCTATTAAAAGATGAACTGGTCATTATTTTAGAAGTTGAAGAAATTGTTCAAATAGAACATAGATGGACACAATCATTGAACAATGCCCGAGTATTGCTGTTTATTGTGGCAACAAGCTCAAATGTTGGTGACATTGTTAAGTAACAAACGTGCAGAATATCGAGGTCAGCTGAAACGTAGGACGTGCAATCTGTGACCCTCATAAATCAAAACAAAAGGTCATGATTTCCATGATCTGAAAATGATCGCGACAGGCAAAACCAAAAGAGCATCAAGGCAAGATTTTCATTCATTATAAATTGGTGGAAAAACAAACTACATTATTGCATTACATGTCATTTAGCTGACGCTTTTATCCAAAGCGATTTACAATAAGTGCATTTCGTAAGGATACAAACAAAAGAACAAGAAAGTGCAATTTCATTAAATTAGCCAATCTACAACTTGCTATAGATAAAAGCCCTTATAAGTACAATTTAAGTGCTACGATTTGTTAGCATTATGTTCCACTAAGTATAAACAAATACTAGCCGTGCCATAGTTCAATCACTAGAAACTGATCATATGTTCTGTACGGAACCTGCAACTATATTTTCCAAATCATTACAATGAAATAAAAAGTGCAATACTTCCTATCTACTACAGAAGTGGCCACAAGATTAAACTTCTAGCCACTTCATTGCTTTCCACTCGCACGTTGCAGAACATCACAGCTGCTGATCTGGAAGCAGTTTCACAAACCATTACGTGAAATGAGACGGCGCAGCGGACATGGTCACACGCCGGCAGTCGGACGGTTAAATACAGCCTCCTGCGAAACCTCTCGTCGTGTCACTGCTGTTACATAAAATCATTGCCGCTCAATCTGAGTGGGCTGCTACTTTAGGGCCTCTGGGTTGGACTGTGGTCTAAATGTAGTTTTGCCTTTTTCCACAGAAAAAGCCTCTCTCCGCCATCATCAAGGAAGTGTGTGAGGGGTAAGTGTGCACTGGCTTCTTCGTGAGCTGTATGTCACACTGGATGTTCTACCCCTTAATAAATACCTGTGATGCAACGGTTGCTGTTCTCCTCTCGTGGGTTTCAGGTGGTCCTTGGGGAACCACGAAAACTTTGCCCTGCAGATTGCTGATGCCACAAATTTCTACATCACAGAAAAGGTTTGTTATCGGTTTTTCAAAGTCCAGGCAGCAGTGATCTGAGGTAAAAGAAAACGTGCTCGTCAACGTCTGCTTTTATCTACGTGAACCTCCACAGAACCGCAATGACATCAAGAATGGGTCCATCCTGCGCCTGACCACCTCTCCTGTGAGTTTCATTTCTTTGCACAATGCCCTTTTAGCTGCACGAGAGCACTGATCCTTATGCAGATTTTTATCCTCTCTTTCCACTTTAGTACCAGACTGCGGTCCAGCTCCACGAACGGATCCAGTCGTCCAGCATGGACGCCAAGCTGGAGTCTCTGAAGGACCTGGCCAGTGCGTCGAGGGACATCACCTTCGCACAGGAGTTCATCAACCTCGACGGCATCTCCCTGCTCACTCTGATGGTGGAGAGTGGGACCGAGTAAGTCAGAAGCTCGACCATCTCTTTTCGTGGTTGTGTCACCACAGTGTTCTCCTTTTTGATTTTCATGCCTCTTTGTGTGAGGGATTATTTCAGGGTGACCAAAGAACAGTGGTATATTTTGAGTAATATGCTGTATATGGCTCTAATGGTTTCGTATACTAAACCCATGATTTTTATTTTAATCCCATTTAAGTCAATGGTGGGTATTATAAATGAACGTCTCACTCTGAGTTTTACACGTTTCTGAGGTCAGTGAGGATCCAGCACTGTGCTTTCTGATGGGTTAAGTTCAACGCAGCCTCTTTTGCAGCGGGCCCTCTGTTGGTGCCTTTGGCGTGGGAATCGATTTGCATTTGAGGCTATTTTAGGATTTTAGGGCACCACCAACACACCGGATAGACGCTTCATTATCAGGTCGTTTTCCTCAAGAAAACTTAAATTCTTACATTCCCTTTGTGACTGAACTACCTTTCTGTGGAAATAAAGGTCTCCCTTAGATCTTGACCCAAGTAGGAGAAAATCTCAGAGCCTCCCTTCAAATTTTCTGAGGTCTTTTCTGAGGAGCTGAAAAGAGCACAACTGGCTTGAGAAGAACATGCCCGGAGGGGGGGGGGGGTCCCGTTTGCCTTTGCTGACCATGATCGGGACATTGCAGACAACAGAGGAGCACAGGAGCTCTGCGCTGTTTTCTGGCTGTTCAGCAGATCCGTGCGATGGCAGCGCCGGGGCTCTGGAGACCGTCTCAACTGAAGGTTAAAGCGAGGACGCTTTTCGCTGAGGCTGAATTTCTCAGCCGTGATGCCAGTGGTGCGTGCGTGCGTGCGTGCGTGCGTGTGCGTGTGTGTGTGTGCATGCTTGCTTCTGTAGCAGGCTGTGTGATTCCAGCGCTCCGTCAGAGTAATAACCCAGAGGAAAGTTGCAGTAGGAGCAAAAAAAAACAACAGGCCGCACACGTTCGATGCAAACTGGCAGGGAGTGCAGCAGCACCATCCTCGTGCATCTCTCATTATTCATCACTTTGTACGCTGCGAGAGAGAGAGAGAGACGGGCGAAGAATTGTTTGCGTGCCTAAAGGATTTTTTTTCAAAAATGAAACCTGATCTACGGCGCAGTGGAAAGCCAAACAAGACACAAGCACAAAGATTAATGACGGCAATAATCATGCGATTATTGGCGCTCTATTCTTCTATTCAACCTTCCTAAAAAGGATTTCTCCTTCTCTCTTCTCCAGATTGTTTTGTGCGGTCTGTACATTAAAGGTCAAATCCCAGGTCGGATGTTTCATCTTCTCAACCGAACCCGATAATCTCTTATTTCTGGGGGCGAGACGGTCTGACATTTCGCTCACTTTAGGAAATCATTTTGTGCATAAATGTCTCAAATTGGCAAATAGTTGACCCTCGTTAGATCTTACTGCTGGGAGCCATCACAGCAGCACTGATGTTGGACTCCACTCTGCTTCTGGCTCTTTCATGAGATATTTTTTTATGTAGATTACCATCACATCAGTTATTCAGCACTGGAGAGTTTGAGTGAGAGGGGAAAGAGCAATTGGCTCTGCTGCCTTTTCTATCTCCACAGAAGGAGCTTATGAAACAGACATGCAGATCGGTATCCGTGAAACACACAGTCATTGGTGCGCCTAACAACAAACAACCCGGCGGACTGTAATTATTCAAGAGGCTCCGTGCCCGAGAGTCTAGAGGGCAGAGCGGCGCCGTGATCCACACCTTCTTCCGGAGATGTTGTGCTGTATTTGTGTGGAGATAAGTTGGCAGGAGGCTGCTGTTGCCCACACAAGCGCCACGAGTGAAAGGCAGGCGTCGCCCTCTGCTGATGGAACAGCGCAACCTCAACCAGTTATTACGTTCAGAAGTGATGGGAAGAAGGATCATAGCTGTTGTTTAAATAACAATGAAGAAAACCACACAGTTTCTCACAGATTTGGTTGAATTTGAATTTAGATGTAAAGGTGAGGTGGATGCAATTTTGTCTAGAAAGAATTAATAAAGCACAAGCGTCATCAAAGTGTGGCCCTTTAAGCTGTTGGAACTTAAGCTGGAACTTAATTCCCCGATGGAGAGCAGCTACGCCGGGGACACTGATTCCATAGTTAAACACAAGCGTTATTCCACGGTTTCCCCGTGTTGTGTGATCATTGCTGTGCACTGGACGGAAGGAAATGTTAAGGTTTGATTTCAGTTTGCTTCTGTCTGGATTGATACGATCAATAACAATCTGTATGACGCGTGTTCGCTTGGACCTTTGGGGGTTTTGGTCTTTCGGGGATGTTGAGATGATGAGAACAGGTTGCGATGTGTGTTGTTCACTAGATTATCTGGTTGTTTGTTTCCCAACTGTGACACCGAAGTTTCTCAAATCTTTGCAGACGCTATCAGAAACTACAGAAGATAATGAAGCCCTGGTAAGACCCCCTCCCCCTTCCACAGCGACCCCCCCCTCCAGCAGGGTAATGTCCTTGGCTTTGTGCTCTTCCTAACCTGCTGGCCGGTTCTGCATGTTTAAGACTCTGGCCCCAGTGCCTTGTGGGAAATGATGTATGCATAACACAGACCCCCCCCCCTTCTGGCTTCCATTTCAAAATCATTTGGTCTCATTTGGGGATTTTTTTGCATGTGGTTTTGGGCGACCGATTCAAACAACCTTCTAATTCTTCAATACTGACGCAAAGAAAGCCAAGATTTATTTCTATAAACTCACTGAAATAGTATGAATAGAAATTAAGGAATTGCTGCTTTTATAAACATAACATAACAAACGTGCAGCTGCATGTATTGATACTGTTCCTTTAGTACAAGTAAGCCTGAATTAAATCTTGGTGTTCTTTACACGCGGTGCTGGATCGTCTGTGTGTCCACGTCGAGGTGCTCAGCAGCTACTTTTCTTTCTTTCTCTTTAACAGTATTAACCATTATCCTCTATTCTAACTGGAGCTGCATTTATCCAACAGGGGTTCCTTTACTCTATCTAATCTATCCTCTATTGGTCACGATTGCATGACGAATTGTGTACTTAATGCCAGTAGGTCATCTAAATGCCCAGGGCCATTTGCAAAAAGTCTTCTTCTCCTGTGGGTCACTAAGTTACCCATTTCATTGTTCACTAACCATCTCCAATGCAGCGACACTGATCTATGGATCCGCTTCATTTGTATCTTGAAAACCTGTTATCCTTTGTGGTTGGTGTCCCTTTGCTCAGTCTGATGGTGTTTCAGCTCTGCGGACTAACTTCCAATGTAATATTGCATATCGACTCGAGCATACGGAATATTCTCAGGTCTCCTTGACACAGTGCAAGTACATCGATAATGGAAGTATGAACCAACGAAAGCCTGAAGGGTTGAGTGCCAACATTAAGCAGCAGAGGGCAGTATCGTAAAACGTTTACATTTTTACATTACATTTAGCTGACGCTATTATCCAAAGCGACCCACAAGAAAGTGCAATTTCTTCAAATAAGCCCATTTACAACTTGCTATAGATAAGAGCCGTTATTATGTACAATTTAAGTGCTACAATCTGCTTAGTGTTTTTAGTCAAGGTAGAGTCTGAAGAGGCGTGTCTTTAGTTTAGTAGTCATCATTTCGGAGTCAGGACAGCAGAGCGTCGTGATCTTTACTGAACAGTTTTGTTACGAAATAAAGAGCAAAAATAAATTAAGGCTGTCTAACCAACCATAGGTTGTATCACTTGTTTTTATTATGATTCATTACTTCCTCGTTAATTACTTCCAGCGGCGGAAAACATATTGTACACAACAGCTGTTTAATGCGTTCCCTCCTTCGCCCCCCTGCGACTGAAGCGGAGCAATTTATTTCTCCTGGTACTTTTTCGAACCAGCATGACTTCACTCTCTTCTGTAGCTTTCTGGTCCCGATTGAACGCCGCGCTGTGCCGCCCGGCTCCTGCTGGCCTTCTGACGGCCCCCTGCCGTTTCTGGAAGGCCAGTGTGTACCGCACTGCATCGCAAGCCTCTTTCCCGTTTCTTCCTCCTTACCCGTTTTTCTCCGTCTATTTAAAGTAGGCCTGGTTGCAGAACGACTCCCATGATCCTCTGCCCCCTCTCCTCCTCTTGCCCCCCCCCCCTCCCCTCGCCTCTGCTGACCGCTCATTCCCCGTTATGTTCTGAGCCATCTGGGCGTTGCACCGTGACACTGCTTCAGGCCATCTGCCGCAGAGAAGTTTCCTATGTGTGTCCCTGTGTGTGCGTCGTCTCTTAGTTTCGGCGACCTGCTGTCCTTCACTCTGACGGCCTTTGTGGAGCTGATGGACCACGGCATTGTCTCCTGGGACACTTTCTCTGTGGCCTTCATCAAGAAGGTCAGCCAAGAAAAATGTCTCATTTAAACAGGGCAGAGATTTAAGGGGGACTTGCATTTATAATCCTTTTGTTTTACTCTGTATTTGCTGGGAAGGTTTTGATTTTAGTTTTGCGTATGTGTATAGGAGCTAATACAGCTATATGAGATGTTTCTTTTTTGTCCTCCATTACCGCTCACTGTGTCCGTCGCTCAAGCTCTGCGTCTCATCCATGAGTAGTAGTGAGTGCGTTGCATTTTCTTTCCTTCCTGCAGATCGCCAGCTACGTGAACAAGTCGGCCATGGACACGGCCGTGCTGCAGCGCTCCCTGGCCATCCTGGAGTCCATTGTGCTCAACAGTCAGGATCTTTACCACAAGGTGGCGCAGGAGATCACCATCGGGCAGCTCATCCCACATCTCCAAGGGTAAGTGGATCAGTAGGCGGTAAGGACGCTTAATCAAATTGATTTATCTTTGAAACTATCGCATGGTGAAGAATCTGTTTCGAACAACACAAGCTTGGCGATGTACTTATCTGTTACTACGTATAGTTGATATTCTTGTGCGTGCTGTTTTCTATTTGCAGGACTGATCAAGACATCCAGACCTACACTATTGCTGTCATCAACGCACTCTTTCTCAAAGCTCCCGAGGACAAGAGACAGGTGAGGCGTGCGTGTGCGCGCACAGCACTCACTGCATGTAGTGCACCGTGCTGTTTGTCAGTGTCACGGTGTAGTGAGTGAGTTACACTCTGTGTCTGTACTTGTATTTCGGGTGTTTATCCCCCATCTTCAGTTTAATCCAGTGCAACTGTTGCAAAGCCCCCTCGACCCCCACTGACTGCGCTCCTCTCTAGAGCGGTGACATGCATGCGAGATGCTCTCACTCCCCACTCGGCACCATAGGGTCCAGCGACGGGCTTTGACATTTAACAACAATGAATGATGCTAAACCAGAACTTTTCTCTGATGCAGCACACAAATTTAAAGACACGCTATGCAGAACTGAGCTGCACAGCATCTCTGCATGCAGATTGTAGCGCACGCTGATGTTGCAGTGCTTCTTTCTTTGCTGAGGCCAAATGTTTTAAATCGGATTCACGCGGTTGGTTGGCAGCAACTTTAAGCAACTTTATTAGGTTGCTTTAGGGGATAAATGACCAACATGTCCTCTTGCTTGCGCGCAAGCACGTGTGCTAATATGAGTTTGCAGCAGACACTTTCCTTTCTGCAGGGAGGCACTTTCATAATTTGATGTCATGGCACAGAACCTCCTCATGCCAGGATCTGTTATTTGCAGATGTATCACTGATGACACATTTGAAAGCATACAAAGGGGCTGATGACACTATTTTGGTTCTCCGTTTGTGTGTCTTAAAAGGAAAGATGTGTGTGTGTGTGTGTGTGTGTGTGTGTGTGTGTGTGTGCATGGTGAGGATTCAACCATCAGTAAAGCTATTATTAAGATCCCCCGGTGTCCCAACATATTATGCTCACTCCGCTGCCTCTCCTCCCTCCTTCCTCCACAAGCTGGAAACATTCGGGGTTTTTTAACCTCCTCTCAGACTCTCTCTTTTTCCACATTCACTTACTCACCCTCTCTGTCTCTGACTTTTGTTTCCTCACTGCACACGTTACGCTAGGTTGATGAGCACATTGTGGACATCCTAAATTGTCCCCTAACAGTAAGTGCACCCTTGATCAGAACACTTCGTAGTTTGCACTGTAGAAGACATTTAGTATCCATTTTTAAGATTAAGTTCTCCTTTGGGATAGCTTTCTAATTTCATACAGCGAGTCACTGCATACCTGGCAGTGTGCTGAGGCAGCCTCTTTTCATTTCATTCATTTTTCCATATTAACACATAACATGTATACTTTTTTTTATTGGTTGGTGTATTTGTGGTTTTATTCTCTCAAAATCCCTCTGTTCTTCCTAAACAGTGTATTTCTCTCCCTGTTTTCTCCCTCCATAGGAGATGGCCCATATTCTCGCCCAGAAGCAGCTGCGCTCCATCATTCTCAGTGTAAGTTTAGCTGTTCCCTTCTCTCTCTCTCTCTCTCTCTGTTCAGGTTTATGCCTCAGCACCCGCGTGATATCAGAAAGGAAATTGACACCTGTCACATCTTCATCTGTCTCACGTTGCTGGTTATTATCTACTGCGCCTGCTGTCTCACACCTGTTCCCTTTTCTCTCTTTCATTATCTTCCTTGTGTTTCATCTCACTTCTTCTTCTCGCATCTGACTGTTTGATCCTCCAAATTCACCTCCAAATCCTCTTATTCTCCGTCTTTATCTCCTACCGCCTTCCTCCTAAATCCATGTCTGGTCTCTTTGACCCCAAAAACCGCTCTCTCACCTTCGACTTCTATTTGAAGATCTAACACCTCCGCTGTTTTCTGTGTTCCGCTCTTCTAATCCCCCCCCTCTTCCCCCTTCCTCCTCCTCCACACTTTTTCAGAACGTGATCCGGAGCCCCACAGCCATCAACGCCGAGATGGCCCACCAATTGTACGTCCTGCAGGTGCTCACCTTCAACCTGCTGGAGGACCGCATGATGACCAAGATGGATCCCCAGGACCAGGTGGGGGGCTGTGAATGCAGACAGGAATGAAGGGATGGGATCATCATCATCTTCAAAGCAATTTCATTTGCATAAAAAAGAATGACAATCAACAAAGGGAATTAATATATTGTATAACATCTTACAGAATAACATTATATAAATATATTTGGCTACACAAAAATATAGGCCTACATTCTTGGATAGGATCAATTTTATGGTCGTTGGGATTTGTTGGAAAATTAGAGAATTTCATTGTTTTTTAAAAGGAGACTTCAGCAAGATGAAAATAGTGAGCAGTCAGAAGAAGCCTGTTGAACTGTAGCCTTCACAAGAAACGTACGAAAACCTCTTCAGGAAAATGAACTGTGGGCAGTTTGGGCCCTATCCAGCCGGTTTTGGAAAAAAAGAGATTAGTTATTTTAGGCTGGCCAAGTAATAAAAACAGTGCAGAGTCATGGCGGTCGGCCAGATCGCCTCGGGCACCGCAAGAAGTTACAAAACGGTGAACGGAAGAAAAGCCGGATGGACTCCCGAGCAGCATTTTAACATTGTTCTGTGCAGGCTCAGAGGGACATCATCTTTGAGCTGCGGAGAATCGCCTTCGACGTGGAGTGCGAGCCCAACAACAGCGGCAGCATCGAGAAGCGCAAGTCCATGTACACCCGCGACTACAAGAAGCTCGGCTTCATCGTAAGTTTGGCATGCGTTTCACTCCTAAACTGTACTCCTTCTCTCATGACTCGCTCTGCCTGCAACTCAAACCCGATCTAGTGAATTGAGACAAGTGGCAGTTTGTGTTTGTCAGCTGTTATTTGGATACAATTGTCCTTCAATGCAAAATCCTTTCATTGTTTATCGCTGGTTGAGGTGAGGCTAGTTTTCACTCCTTTATGCCTCCTTCAAACAGGTAAAAGATCAACGAGGACAGTAATGAAGTGACAAATGTGGGAGGAAGGTTCTGTTACACCAATTTAAGGGATATCTGATACAAAGGAGCATGAAGGGCTGCAAGCCACAAAGGATGGGATATGAAGGCATTGTACTCTTTTAATTCAATAATCAGTTGTCACATAAGTGTATTGGAAGCATTTAAAATCATAAAATGGAAATACTCTAATAAACTGCAACTACTTCAACATGAGATAAGTTGAGTGCTTGTAGCGAGTTACTTTTCACCAGGGGTTTGTTTGGGTATGTTAATCCTACTTATCTCTTACTCTACCTTGCACTGCAGTGTGCAAAGATAATTTATATGTATATATATATATATATATATATATAGTGTATTATATTTTTTAAAGATGTGCATGTCTTATCAGTTTTAAGCCCATAAGTTTGCTTCCTGTCAGATAGAATTACAAAACTGATGAGCCCGATCTGTGTCTTCCATCCCTCTTTCATCCCCTGCTTTACTCTGTCTTCCTCGTGCTCTTTTCTCTTAAACAGCCTGTCTAATCTTTTTAAAATCAAGATTAGCTTCACAGTGATTTGTTTGCGCCGCATCACGTTTGTATCGCTGGATTTAATCATTCGTCAACTGAATTGCGTTCGAAGTCTGGGACGAATGAAGTCTGATGCACTGTGACATCACAGGCAGCATAAACCTGCATCATACAACGTTCAGATGTCATAGTGTGGAGGAATGTGAGGGATGTTTTGGGGTTTGTTGTTTGTAAAGGATAAAGAAGGGTTTCAGGTTGATTCAGTGCTGTCTGCTCGTCCTCTGTCTCTCAGAACCACGTGAATCCAGCTGTGGATTTCACCCAGATCCCTCCGGGCATGCTGGCTCTAGATAACATGTTGTATTTTGCCAGACACCACCAGGACGCCTACATCAGGGTGAGCATGCACACACTCTTCCATGTGGAGTTGTATCACAACGTAGTGATTTCCTGTGCCGTTAGTTTCCTCCTCGTGCCTTCCTCTTCTTACCAAAACTCCTGGTCGTTGGTCTCTCTAGATCGTCCTGGAGAACAGCAGTCGAGAAGACAAGCACGAGTGTCCGTTTGGCCGCAGCAGCATCGAGCTGACCAAGATGCTCTGTGAGATTCTCAAAGTCGGCGAGCTACGTAAGTCCACTCTCAGCCCGCTGGTGCCGGTAGATCTTTTGCTCACAGTTTCTGCAGAATGAGCGCATGGACGGTATATCTCAAGAGATGAGTGTACATACGTGCACAACACAAAACACGGTCACAAATGCCCTTCCTGTTAGGATGAAAGCAGCCATTTTGCTCAGTAACCGTGCCGCCAGGAGTCCATTGATTAGTGATGCACCTCGCCCCCACTGAGCCCCTTTCAGCCTAATGCACCGCCTCTGGGAGCCACACTGTGCAGAGAAATTGACGCTGTGCCCACGTCCACTCCAAATTGATGTGCCCTTTTTCATTTGTCTCTACTTGTTCTAATGGGCGAGCGGGTCTCCGTTCCGCTCCAGACTGAACCCCCCGTGGCTCCCTGCAGGGAGGGAGACGCCGTTCTTCGCTCAGTTTTAAACTGATATGGCCTTTGCATTTGCTCTTCCCATCTTTCTTTCTCTTTCACAGAGGACTTTGACTTTAGGCTGCATTGTAGGGCTATTCACTCTGCTCTGCAAGGGACATTAGACTTTTGTCCATGAAAGAATGGCGTCCACTCCGGTGTCTGTGCCGTCAAAGAAACGTCTTTGCAATTATTCAATCTCTCCTTAACATTGCTGATAAAAGCAAGTTTCAATACAAGATAATGAAGTGCAGGAAAACCTTTTAACATTTCCAAGCATATTGTACATTTATTTGCCTTTCTTTAATGTGATCCTATCTCTGCCAGACTCGTGTCCACCTTCCACACAGATTTAGGTTTTACCACATAAATGCTGTCTACACTACAGATGTAGGGAGGTTTACTGCGTCTTGAAGCGAGGCAGGAGAGTGGAGGGTTTTGGACACTTCTCGTGTCCCTGCACTGCAGTTTGTTTTTGTATACGTTGTTCTATGGGAACACAGTGAAGCTCTGTTATTCATGACATGACAACATGACGTAGGCTCTGCACTGTATCCAGCTCCCAAAAGTCTCTCATGCTCCGCTCCAAACAGCCTTTCTGCGTCATATCCTGTAGAAATCAAGGCTTTCACATTAGCACATATTAGGTAAGACTGAGACAGATTCCTGTGTACCTGTGATCGGCCATTATTGGTGCGTGATATCGTACAGTGGCTCTGGTAATGCAACATGCAGTGATTTGATACGTCAACACACAATTGACGCTTTTAGTTTTCCATATTCAAGTCATTTGGCGGCTTTTTATTCTTAATTCTGTTTATGTATTTGTGGCTGTGACTTTTTTTTCTCGAGGCATTTATTTTATTCAGAGTGTCTCATTAGTTTTTACACAAATGGGCTTCACTGCACGTGCCCCTTTGATCCTCTCTCGTACTGGACCAAAATTGCTTCCCTTTAGTCTCTCTTAAAACATATTCCTTTGACCTAATTCATATCCTAATGCTTATTAGGCAACCAGACTTATGGAAACATCTTCATCTCTGAGGCTTTTCTAAGCATGTAATTGAAATCTTATGAACTAGAGATGAATATTCAGCATGAAGGCAAGGCCATCATTATGAATAAGACTACACCATGACATAAATACGTTTTTTAAAAACCTAAATAGAGCTGGGCACAGTGTACGATCTTACATAAGTGACTCAAAAATGTGAGCTGAATACTACTCGACCGAATGGTCGGTTACCTTCCCTGTTTCCCCTTTTCATTAACATCTTATGCTGTTATTATCATTACGATTATTATTATTTTTAAGTGTCAGTGCCATTATTATTATTATTCTTATTTTTGTATTATTTTAAATGTCACTGAATGCGGGAGTAGAATTTGACCTTGACTTGTAGTTCTAGGTCTTTTTATTCCCAGTGGCTGTTTATTGTCCTCTTTACTGAGGCTGTTAGGCCGGGAGACTGAACCTACTATTAATAAATTATATATATATATACACATACTGTGTGTGTGTGTGTGTGTGTGTGTGTGTGTGTGTGTGTGTGTGTGTGTGTGTGTGTGTGTGTGTGTGAGAGATAGAAATTGCTACCATGAATCTAAATGTTTAAGACATGACAGGATCCACGTATAGACAACTAGGTCATCTAAGGGCAACCAGTTAAAGTTAGATACAAGGGGAATAAAATCTAACAACTCCCTACTGGATATTCCAGAGGACACAAAAGAAAGCTGACATTTTGATATACTCGTATTCACTGCGTTCCAAATCATAACGTTTCCATCCATCATTGTCAGAATGTCCAGTAAATATTTGCATAAGCTTTCCATCACATGCATCTCCTCCTCGTGGGAGAAAGTAGGCCTTAGCTGCACTGCACCATCTCCTGTAAATAGCTCTGTGCATTTTGTCTGTGCAAGTTATAAGTACAATAACTGCTGATTGTACGAGTATGCTGAATGTAACACGGGCCAATCAACTTATAGTTTAGGTGCTCTGTGAGTTAAAGAACCTGAGTCAGGCGTAATGCAGATGAATGAGCGTGCGGGTACCAGCAGTTAGAAATGTCAGTCTCAGCTGTCATCACTTGACTGACCTTTCAGCAGCGAAAGAATGAGAATATGTGACCCTAACGAGGAAGTCGGAAGGCTTGTCTATCTATATTCCTTTGTTTTATCAGCTTTGATTGTGTGGTATTTGAGTCTGAATACATTAGAAGCTGTGGTTCATTATTCCACCAATAAGTTGAAGTGTAGCAGTGATATTTAAGGCTTTTTCTTGGTTCTGTACAGGAGGTCCACTGAAAAAAGGTTGAACCTGTCATGTGAACCACTGCTGTGCTCAAGAAGGAAATGTCTTAACTATTGGATGCCTTTTTTCTTTAGGGGATTCTTTCCTCCTGCACCACATGACGTTGACATTTTTGTGTTTTAGTCCAAAATGGTAGCAAACATTGCTTTTTGCAGCTGCCATTTTAGTCATATTTTTGTCATTGCCGATCAACATGAACGACAATTTCTGTTTTTTAAATTCACGAGTGTGTTTCTGAAACAACTTGCTCAGCTTGATGGAATTTATGCTTAGTTTGTATTTTATTGTTGACAGCTGTGTTTTTTTATTGCGACTTAATGAAAAAGGCTTAATGGGTGAATTATTGCCGTTCATGCCCCTTTTAGGATGACCCATCATTAAGTTTCTTTATTCATCTATTTAGTTGTTCCACTTTTTCTTCTCCTCATCCCCTTTTTGGATAAAGCTTGTTTGCTCCCGTGTGAAATGCCAGCATGGCTTCGCCGGAGGTGTGCGGGCCTCTTGTTTTCTCACGCAGAATGATTAAAAAAAAGAATTCTGTATTCAGTTGTCTTCCTTCCCTGCTTGGCTCTTAAATATCTCTCTCAAGTAAAACATGTCTCACTCTTTATGCTCTTTCAGGCTCACGCACTGTTGTTTTTTTTGTTTTTCTCTCAGTGCATTTCAAGAACATCTGTCGCTCTCAGAATTCTTTCTCCTGCTTTCATGCTCTGGTTTTCTCTATCTGACAAAAGTACACAAGCAGGTGGCATCTTACCATTTTCATTTATATAACAGCCACTAAAGAGTCTGGCTCCACCATTTTCAGAGTGCTCTTTCAGGGCAACGGGTCATTCTTTTACTTTTAATACCATCCTTGTTTTGAGAGGTTTTGACATTTTTCCCTTTTGGTTGTTGAGCTATTTAATTTCTACGCAGATGTGGTCTGGAGATGTGGAGCTCTAAGGGAGCTTGTTTGTTTGAATTAGTTGTCATTGCTGGTGAATTCTACGTAATTCATAACTCCATTCAGCTCTTTTTTCCCTCTCTCACCATATTCCATTTCTCCATAACATTTCTCTTTTGTTCTGTCGCTCTTTCATTTATTGTTGTCTGTTATTGTGCCTCAGATCCTTAAAGGTGAATTGTGCTGCCACGTTTGCATGCAAACACCGGGCCTTAATGGTGTCTGTGTTGGTGAGACACAAAGCAATGACTTTACCGACTCGCCTGTCCATGGAATATTTACGGTAATAGTTATTCAAAAGAAGGGGCAGGCGTTGTGACTCATGGCCCCGCTTTGTTATCCAGATGAACACACACACACACACGCACACACAGACCTGGACAGGCTCCCTTCTGACAATGACTAGATGTCCTCATATTCGTCTCTTCCATCAGAGAGCCATCAGCCGAGGTCAGAACACGGGGCCACGACGGTTCCATTATACATGTTGGTTTGCAGTTTCCTATAAACTCGGTTGCTTTCTGACAAAAAGTGGATGTTTCTCTTTGAAGAGAAAAACCAACACAGCTTTGTTCGCGGTTTGTTTCAAAGGCCAAAAACCTTTTGTATGTCCCATTGCCTGCTGTTACGAGAAAAGATGCAGTTCAATATGGGGGGGTGGGGGGTTGTAATGATGAGTGTAATGATATTTCTAAATTGCCTGCTGTGCTGAGATTAAAAACAACACAACCTAATTTACACCCAATCACACAGAAAAATGTGACACGTCTCCGTGAGAGATTGAAGCGCTGTGGTTCGTTTGGACCGGCCCGTAGTGGTTCCGTTTTAGCACAGAGATCCTGTGACGCACGCTGTTTAGAATAATACAAATGTGTAAATCAATAATCCGATGAATAGAAGCGTATCGTCCATCTGCACGCATGCATCGAACATCGAAGACTTTCTGCAAACTTGACAAAGCGCACAGAACAACTGAGCCATGGAAGTGCAGTAAACGTGTATGTGTGGATCACAAGTAGCTCCAGGACTGTAGAGCAGTGAAATATTCTGCCTGATTATTTTTCCCAGTGATATTTGGATTTCTTTTTTTACACCATGAATCCATCAAGCCTACAAGGGTGAGTGTTTCAAACTTAAAAGACTTCAAATAAAATATCTCTTTAATAGGATTAATTACATTTATGACCCACTGAGAGATGTTTCTTTCCCACATGCTGAAAAGTCATCACGTTATCCAGTAATTAATATCATATGTGGGCCGTTGCTTTGGGAGCATTATGGAAAAGAATATGACATTATATTAGGTTTTGTGTTAATGTTCCATATTA